GCAAGTCCTACACTAGGCTCTATTGCTCCTGCCAAGCAAAATGTGCTCCCTTCACAATCATTATATTGTGCTGCAGGAAGACAGGCTGCCCCCAAGCAGTCAGGGCCAGCCAATCAGGGCTGCTCTATGCAGTGCTGTAATCTATAGACTGCAGACTGAGGGAGCCTGCAGTGCATGCTGAAATGTGTGGACAGTGACCCCCTGGCTGCATAGCATCAGCACTACAAGCTCCTGCTCTCTGCTCTTCAGGGGCTCAGGCATCTCCAGGTAAGTTTTTCTACCACAAGAACAAGTCTCAGAGAATTCTCCCAGGTCATATGAATGCATGGGTGAAGCCAGAGATGGTTCTGTCTGGAGCAAGGGGCCAGACTAAATGACCTCCTGTGGTCCCATTCAACCCTATCTTTCTATGATTTTAAATTTGATTGTTGTCACCAGAGGCCCTCAAGAAAACCACTCCCATCCTACTACATCCCTTCACTACTCTATCATCTATTTCAGTCTGTTACCCTTTCTTACTGGGAGGGTACAAAAGCACAACTATGGAGACAGAGTATGGTCACCAGTTTCCTTTTTCCATTCCTATGCTATAGGAGGACATTTACAAGGGAAAACACATCCTGTAGATTTTAAGTGGGGGTAAGTCCTCCAATTTATATTAGTTCTTGTAACAGGCAACCCTCACCCTGTTACTGGGAGAGGGCAACAAAGCCAGCAGAGCCCTTAAGGGAAGGATTTCTGTGGCCCAGACAAAGGCAGCTGGCCAGGCAGGGTCTAATGAGCAGCCTCTGTGCTCAGGCCAGTTAGGCCAGACTGGCCAGAAGGGACAGAACTTGGGGGATAAACAGGTTTTCCCTTAGACTGGAAGCCAGTCTGGCCTTGCAGGCAGCAGGGGAAAAACTCTTAAGCAGGATGGCTGCTGGAAAGGGACTAACTGGCACTGGAGCTGCCCTAGGAATTACAAGTAAAAGGCCTATAGCTTCTGGGGAAGTATGACCCAGTGAGGGGATGGTTTTAGTTACAGTCAGTGTGCTTGTATTTTTGTTTAAATCTATTTACCAGTGGACTTGGAATGACTATAAGGAGTGAATGAGGAGGCCCCAGTGGGGTGCTTAAGGGGCACACCACACACATACTGGTGCCCAAGTCGCTCATGAGGTTTTGGAGCCCTGCTGAGGGCCAGGGCTCAAGATCAGGTAAGCAGAAAGCTGATACAGGCAAAGTCTCCGGGGCCAGAGGCCTAGAACTGAGAGAAGTGAAGTCAACACCAAAGGCCCAGAGCTCAGAGGTGCAAAAACCAGGGCTGGGGTCCAGAGCCCAAGATTGGGGCTGCATCCCATAAGCCAAGGCCCAGTGCAGCAAGCATAGGCTAAGGAACCCAGCTAAAGGAAAGAGGCAGAGGTCAGGAAGGCTAAGA